GCAATGGCCATGCGGGCCCAAGGGCTCCTCCCACCGTCCTCAGCAACAAAAAAGAGATCGGGTACGTAGAGAGGAACTCCGCCATCTTGATTGCTCATATTCTCTGGCCTGAGGCCCGCCTCTAGAAAATAAGGACTATCTGCACATTTTCAGCCTTTTGTAACGATTTACTGCCGCTGGAACAAAAATGCACAGTTCTTTGCCAAATGCAACTATCCTCTGCCTCTTTTTTTTTTGTACCAGTAAAAATCACATTCATATTACATATACAACCTTTTTGTGAATTATAAAAAAAAAAATAAATAAATTGATTTTAAACATATAATGTGCAACAAAGTCCCACTAATCCATAAAAAAAAAAATTTGTCCAAAAGGAAGTCCAAAAATAGCGTCCACAAATATCCCAATTTTATTCACTCTTTTCATCCACTGAAAGGATTGGCTCCTACTTGATCCAAAAAACGCACCTCGAAGTAAAAATATAATAATATCTAGTGCGTTACCTTAATGATAATAATAATAACAATAATCACCCCGTGCAACCAAAATACGCTTCAAAAAAACCTTTAGTGCAAAAATATAAATAAATAAATAAAAATATATTATTTTCCTATAGTGCATTATAATCACACTAATCAAACTGTGAGCACTGCAATTCAGTGTCAGTGTTTCCAACGCGTTAGGGGAGTGACGGTCAAGACGCACGAATGTAAGTGATGAATAAAAAGTTATCCCTATACTTTGAATACTATTCCTGAGACCCTTCTTATCTCTCTGAGGACCTTGGAAAAACTTTTTGGAAGATAATGTGGAGGAATATTTTTCCATAGTATTGTTTGAGCATTTCAAATACTCATAGAGGGTAATAGTATTTAGTAGTACTGTGTGTTGGTTGTTGGCAGACACTGAATTGCAGCGACCACAGAGTGCTCACCGTTTGATTAGTGTGATTATAGGCACTATAAGAAAATAATATATATTTTTATTTATTTTTTATTTTTTTTTTTGCACAAAAGGTGTTTTGAAGCGTATTTTGGTTGCACGGGGTGATTATTGTTATTATTATTATCATTAAGGTAATGCACTAGATATTATTATATTTTTACTTCGAGGTGCGTTTTGGATGAAGTAGGAGCCAATCCTTTCAGTGGATGAAAAGAGTGAATAAATTTGGGATATTTGTGGACGCTATTTTGGACTTCCTTTTGGACACATTTTTTTTTTTTTTGGATTAGTGGGACTTTGTTGCACATTATATGTTTAAAATCAATTTATTTATTTTATTTTTATAATTCACAAAAAGGTTGTATATGTATTATTGCACTTTCTAGGGAGAAAGTATTGACTTTTTGAGGGTTTGAAAAGGATAAGGGTATACATTGATTGAAAAATTCACATTGAGTAGACTACTTGAGTAGGTAGAACAACAAACGGTACCTTAACACCTTGGATAAGCAAAGACGGAAGGTATAAAAATAAGACAGGTGCGAGGTCTAAAAACTGTACAGACCGTAAATACTCATCGGAGTATATACAAATTCTAGATCACCAACAGGAGGGGTAATGAAGGGAGGGGGAGAAGAAAAAGAGCCTCTGCCTCTTTACCTCCAACATCAGTTGCACTTCACCATAGGATTGCCAAGCATTATTTCCAGTTCTTCACTGTAGGTCATCTTAGGTAGGTACTCCAATGGTGCTTAAACCAGGCCTACCGCAAAGGGTTCACTTCCTGAGGCTACAAGCTGACATAATAGTATACTGGGGTAGCCTCTTACCATCAACTTCTGCCCCAAACCCCTCCAGCTCTAGATGATAAGGGACTAGTCTAACCCCACCCAGTGACCACCTAGGGTAGGGTTTCCCTAAAAAGCGTACTAACCCCTGCTTACGTGTGCTTTTGTTTTCCTGGCACAGATGTGCTCCGCTATGGCATGTTGGGGAGGAAGAGTAGTAAAGCAAAGGAGCTAAAGTGAAAAAAACATTCATATGTACTTGCCAGTAAATGTTCTTATAGAAAAGGACATTGTTGTTCTATGAGGTTATGAGTTCATTTTGCATAAATGTAATGATTTTCCCAAAGTCTTCTTGCATGTTCTTAGTTGCCAACATGTAAAGAGATTGTAAAGTCAAATTTTTTCTTTTAACTAAAATAAAAAAGGTGTTATAGTTACCTGCTGTGTGCAAGGGTTGGGGGGTCCATCATTGCTGGGGGTGGTCTATTTTGTAGGGGATCACAGAGCATCATCTTTTAGGGTTCTCCATCTGCTCTCTCCCCTCTGCCTCCTCTCCATGCAACACCATAGAAAAGCCACTTTCCATGGGAGCATATGTGCAGGCACACTCCCAAGCTGGGCTGTGTGTGTCCATAGACACACACAGTGCTGCTCTGCCCCAGCCCCCTCTCCTCACTGGAACTGACTGACAGCAGCAGGAGCCAATGGCTTTGCTGTCCTCAGCCAAGCTTGTGTGAGTGGGGAGAGGAGGGAAAGACCTGCAGATGGGCACAGTGTATTTAGGCTAGGGCAGGGATTTTTTTCTCAGAGAATAGGTGCAGGAACCCCTCCCCTTTTGAGTCACCCCTTGTCTCCGCCCCCTACCCCACCTCCAAGCACCGCCCCTTGGTTTCACCTCCTACCCACCTCTTAGTACTGCCCCTTTTAGAGAATAGAGAACCAACCAAGTATCCTTTTATGGTTCTAAGTAATTTGTATGTAATGTGTTAATGATAACAAGAAAAGCAGTAAAATACAGTAGATCCCCTTCAGCCAGCAACTGATCCCCTACAAAATAGACCACCCCCAGCAATAATGGACCCCCCCCAACAAAATACCACCCCAGTAATTATAGACCTCCAGCAGCAACAACAGATCTCCCAGCAGCCAGCATAAACAGGCCCTCCAGCAGCCAGCAACAATAGACTTCTCCCTCAACAGGAGATCCCTCCCAGCAACATCTGACCGCCAGCAACATAAGACCCCCTCGAGCAACAATAGACCCCCATGCAAAAATAGACCCCCATGCAAAAATAGATTCCCATCATCAGTAAGAATAGATCCCCCAGCAGCCAGCATCAATAGACTCTCCTCCACCCCAGTACCCCTTGCCATTACATACATTCAGTGCTAGAGGGGTCCTGGGCTAGGGGGTAGGAACAGCAACTGGAAGGTTTTTTAATTTTAATTCAGAAAATGCATTAAGTGGAAAAAAAATACCTTTTGACTTTAGAAACACTTTAAATAACTTTAAAGAAAGCTTTGTGGATTCATGTCTGAGTTCATCGGTCCCCATGCTGTATTGGAAGACCATGGATCTCTACGTTCTCCTTCATGCCTCCTTCCTACAGGAAGATATAGATGCCATTTTATCATTTACATTTCACTTTTGGGTATTTGGAGGTAAGGAAAGGGGAAGACGAAAACCTTTAGTATGTTTTATGAGTGTAACTGCAGCTCAACAATGTGATCAACATGATCTTAATTCCTTTCCAGAGCTGTTCCCAAAACCTCGATTAACTCTAAGTTCAACAAGTTCAACAAGTAACAAGACGGAGTACATCAATGACGGAGATCGGGTGGCTCTGGAATGCTCCGTTTCCGGCTTATCTCCCCAGGAGTCATCCAAGGAGGTATTTTATTTAATAGTCAACAATGGGAGAAAAAAATATAGGAAAAGTGGAGGAATGTTCCTGATGAACTTGATGGCAACAGATAGCGGAGACTACAAATGTGAAGTCACCATCGCCAACATCACCAAGACTAGTGAGCAGGTTAAGGTAAAGGTCTATGGTGAGTAGGGTGAGAACCTAATCTATCCACAACTCTGCATGTACATAGCGCACCCCTGAACCCTGCACACTGTACATAGCGCACCCCTGAACCCTGCACACTGTACATAGCGCACCCCTGCACACTGAACTCTGCACACACACTGTACATAGCACACCCCTGAACCCTGTACATAGCGCACCCCTGAACCCTGCACACTGTACATAGCGCACCCCTGAACCCTGCACACTGTACATAGCGCACCCCTGAACTCTGCACACTGTACATAGCACACCCCTGAACCCTGTACATAGCACACCCCTGAACCCTGCACACTGTACATAGCGCACCCCTGAACCCTGCACACTGTACATATACCCCTGACACCCCCCTGAACACACTGTACATAGCGCACCCCTGAACCCTGCACACTGTACATAGCGCACCCCTGAACCCTGCACACTGTACATAGCGCACCCCTGAACCCTGCACACTGTACATATAGCACACCCTGAACCCTGCACACTGTACATAGCGCACCCCTGAACCCTGCACACTGTACATAGCGCACCCCTGAACCCTGCACACTGTACATAGCACACCCCTGAACCCTGCACACTGTACATAGCGCACCCCTGAACTCTGCACACTGTACATAGCGCACCCCCTGAACCCTGCACACTGTACATAGCGCACCCCTGAACTCTGCACACTGTACATAGCGCACCCCTGAACTCTGCACACTGTACATAGCGCACCCTCTGAACCCTGCACACTGTACATAGCGCACCCCTGAACTCTGCACACTGTACATAGCGCACCCCGGAACTCTGCACACTGTACATAGCGCACCCCTGAACTCTGCACACTGTACATAGCGCACCCCGGAACTCCTAGACACACTGTACATAGCGCACCCCTGAACTGCACACTGTACATAGCGCACCCCTGAACCCTGCACACTGTACATAGCGCACCCCTGAACTCTGCACACTGTACATAGCACACCCCTGAACCCTGCACACTGTACATAGCGCACCCCTGAACCCTGCACACTGTACATAGCGCACCCCTGAACCCTGCACACTGTACATAGCGCACCCCTGAACCCTGCACACTGTACATAGCACACCCCTGAACCCTGCACACTGTACATAGCACACCCCTGAACCCTGCACACTGTACATAGCGCACCCTGAACTCTGCACACTGTACATAGCGCACCCCTGAACTCTGCACACTGTACATAGCGCACCCCTGAACTCTGCACACTGTACATAGCGCACCCCTGAACCCTGCACACTGTACATAGCACACCCCTGAACCCTGCACACTGTACATAGCGCACCCCTGAACCCTGCACACTGTACATAGCGCACCCCTGAACTCTGCACACTGTACATAGCGCACCCCTGAACTCTGCACACTGTACATAGCGCACCCCTGAACCCTGCACACTGTACATAGCGCACCCCGGAACTCCGCACAATAGCGCACCCCTGAAACTCCGCACATAGCGCACCCCTGAACTCCTGCACACTGTACATAGCACCCCTGAACCCTGCACACTGTACATAGCACACCCCTGAACCCTGCACACTGTACATAGCACACCCCTGAACCTGCACACTGTACATAGCGCCCCCTGAACCCTGCACACTGTACATAGCGCACCCCTGAACCTGCACACTGTACATAGCGCACCCCTGAACCTGCACACTGTACATAGCGCACCCCTGAACCCTACACACTGTACATAGCGCACCCCTGAACTCTGCACACTGTACATAGCGCCCCCCTGAACCCTACACACTGTACACAGCGCACCCCTGAACCCTGCACACTGTACATAGCACACCCCTGAACCCTGCACACTGTACATAGCACACCCCTGAACTCTGCACAACTGTACATAGCGCCCCCCTGAACCCTACACACTGTACATAGCGCACCCCTGAACCCTGCACACTGTACATAGCGCACCCCTGAACTCTGCACACTGTACATAGCGCACCCCTGAACCCTACACACTGTACATAGCGCCCCTCTGAACCCTGCACACTGTACATAGCGCCCCCTCTGAACCCTGCACACTGTACATAGCGCCCCCCTCTGAACCCTGCACACTGTACATAGCGCACCCCTGAACTCTGCACACTGTACATAGCGCCCCTCTGAACCCTGCACACTGTACATAGCGCCCCTCTGAACCCTGCACTCTCTACATAGTGCATCCTTGAAACCCCTCACCTAATGCCAGGGGCGGACTAACCATTTGGAAACTCGGACACTGCTGCCCGAGGGCCCACAGGGTCAGTAGGGGGCCCCATGAGATGCCACTGGTACCTTTTTCATAGGCTTTTTTGAGTTTGGGCAAGACACAGGGGCCCCATGATCCCCTATTGCCCGGGGGCCCCCCATTAGTTGTCAGTTCGCCCCTGAACCCTGCCTAATGCACTCCTCATATTTATTGCTCAATTAAGATCCTTTGACTGTTACAACAATTTGGCCACACCCACCGTTCGATGCAGTTCAGCGGGAGGGGGGGGGTCATGGTTAAGTTCTTGCTCCTATTGTCAGGGGACAGAAAGCCCTAGAAGTATTTATATAGTCTTACAGATACAAGCAACCCTTTGAAGGCAACCATAAAGCTGATGCGGCCCCCACCATGAAATTGAGTTTTGCACCCCTGGCATAGAAGAGCAGATGGTTTAATAGAAGTGAAAGAAACTTGAAAGTATGTATCCAATATTCCAATCTAGGGGAGTAGATACACAATGTACCATAAGGAAAACATGTATATGAGTGGACAATATGTGGCTTCTGGGGTAGTGGAGGAGGAAGCAGTGATGGATCAGTATGTTGTATATATAAAGTGATAGTATGTATCTTGTCAGATATTGGTGGAGGAGGAAGCAGCGATGCATCAGTAAGTTATATAAAGTGATAGTATGTATCTTGTCAGATATTGGAGGAGGGAAGCAGCGATGGATCAGTATGTTGTATATAAAGTGATAGTATGCATCTTGTCAGATATTTGGAGGAGGAAGCAGCGATGGATCAGTATGTTGTATATAAAGTGATAGTATGTATCTTGTCAGATATTGGAGGAGGAAGCAGTGATGGATCAGTATGTTGTATATAAAGTGATAGTATGTATCTTGTCAGATAGTGGAGGAGGAAGCAGTGATGGATCAGTATGTTGTATATAAAGTGATAGTATGTATCTTGTCAGATAGTGGAGGAGGAAGCAGCAATGGATCAGTATGTTGTATATAAAGTGATAGTATGTATCTTGTCAGATAGTGGAGGAGGAAGCAGCGATGGATCAGTAAGTTGTATATAAAGTGATAGTATGCATCTTGTCAGATAGTGGAGGAGGAAGGCAGCAGCAGATGGATCAGTATGTTGTATATAAAGTGATAGTATGTATCTTGTCAGATAGTGGAGGAGGAAGCAGCGATGGATCAGTATGTTGTATATAAAGTGATAGTATGTATCTTGTCAGATAGTGGAGGAGGAAGCAGCGATGGATCAGTATGTTGTATATAAAGTGATAGTATGTATCTTGTCAGATAGTGGAGGAGGAAGCAGCGATGGATCAGTAAGTTTATATAAAGTGATAGTATGTATCTTGTCAGATAGTGGAGGAGGAAGCAGCGATGGATCAGTATGTTGTATATAAAGTGATAGTATGTATCTTGTCAGATAGTGGAGGAGGAAGCAGCGATGGATCAGTATGTTGTATATAAAGTGATAGTATGTATCTTGTCAGATAGTGGAGGAGGAAGCAGCGATGGATCAGTATGTTGTATATAAAAGTGATAGTATGCATCTTGTCAGATATTGAGGAGGAGGAAGCTGATGGATCAGTATGTTGTATATAAAGTGATAGTATGCATCTTGTCAGATAGTGGAGGAGGAAGCAGTGATGGATCGGTCAGCTGTACAATGTTGTAGACAATGTGAGTGTTGTCAGATTGTGGAGGAGGAAGCAGCGACTGATGTTGATCAGCAAGCTGTAGTATAAGTTTGTCAGATTTGTCCTTGACAGAATATTTGGTCCTTTTTAGCCTCTATACATTTGATAGTTTCTCCACCAGCTGCAGTCACCATAACCTGAGCTCAAACAGATTTTTATAAAGGGTAATAAAATGGTTGTCAGATAGTGGGGACACCCTAATACTGACCTGCAGTCACCGACTTGTATACCCCCCCATCACATTATACCTTGTGTACCGAGAGGAAGAGCTACTTGAGGGAAGTGATGTTAAATAATAGCGAGTGCCTGTATTCATGGTGAACACCACCAAGCTGCAGTGATTTGGGAGAATGTCACGCCTCTAACTGGAACCATAGTAATGTCCAAAGCACTCAGCGAGGTCCTCAATGTGTCACCTTATCGGAAAGGTGTCCCTTTTACATTCATTTAACATCTGTTTGAGGAATTTTTAGCCTTTTACAGAAATACCTCACATATGGCAGCATTAAGTGGGAACCTTTTTAGCTGACCTGTAGACACCCAAACTGAGGACTGAGGGCCTGATGATGTGGCCCTTTGCAGATGTCCTCCATACCATCCACAAGTCATCATGATGGGGCATCATTCCTGTACAGATATGTGGACAGGAAGAATAGGGCTTATTCCTCCAAACTGATGACCAACAATTAGCGGGCACTATTCCTTCCATGGTAAAACCAGGGTGGGATATTAAGCGCACCATGATTTGTGGACGCTACCAATAGCTGATGGGTACCACCCCCAACAGGAACCCATAACTTTTCCTCCATGCACTCAGATGGAGGACCCTCTGTCCATTAGAGGAAATGCACCGTTATCGCGTATGTCCCTTCCCTTTTTAACAATCATGACTTTTGGCTTATTACTCCTACAGACATGGCAGCTCATGTGGGGGCACCCAAAACTCCATAGTGACACCAATTGATGGGAGCACCATTCCTCCTACAGACATGGGTCCTCACCATTCCTCCTACTGTCACCAATGATGGGGCACCATTCCCCCCCACCCCACAACCCACCCACCCACACCCCAACACCCCCCCCCCACCCAATGATGGATGGGCACCATTACCTCCCCATGGACACCAATGATGGGGCACCATTCCTCCAGTGGTACAACAAATGGGGCTCTATTCCACCCCTACAATGATACCAACAATGGGGCACCTATTTCCTTCCACTAAAACCAAGGGCCTCATATTATTACCCCCAGTGGACATTAATGATGGGGCACCATTCCTCCTACAGACACCAATGATGGGGCACCATTCCTCCTCCTACAGACACCAATGATGGGGCTCCCATTCCTCCCAGACACCACAATGATGGGGCACCATTCCTCCACCCAGACCAAACCCCGGTTGGGGCACACATTCCTCCTTACATTCCTCCTACAGACACCAATGATGGGGCACCCAATTCCCCCCAACAATGGGCCAACAATCCTCTATTCCTGCCACTGATACCAACAAGGGCGGGCACTATTCATTCCACTAAAAACCAAGGCGGGGATTTATTACCCCCATGGACATTAATGATGGGGGCACCATTCCTCCTACAGACACCAATGATGGGGCACCATTCCTCCTACAGACACCAATGGTGGGGCACCATTCCTCCTACAGACACCAATGATGGGGCACCATTCCTCCTACAGACACCAATGATGGGGCACCATTCCTACCTTGAATACCAACAATGGGGCTCTATTCCTCCAACTGATACCAACAATAGGGCACTATTCCTTCCACTAAAATCCAAGGGCGGGATATTATTACCCCCATGGACATTAATGATGGGGCACCATTCCTCCTACAGATTCCCTGATGGGGCACCATTTCCTCCTACAGACACCAATGGTGGGGCAGCCATTCCATCCTACAGAACACCAATGATGGGCACCATTCCTCCTACCGACACCAAATGATGGGGCACCATTCCTTACAACACCAATGTTGGGCACCCATTTCCCCCTCAGACACCAATGTGCGGCACCATTTCCTTCTACCAGACCAACAATGGGGCTCTATTCCTCCAACTGATACCAACAATAGGGCACTATTCCTTTCACTAAAATCAATGATGGGGCACTGTTTACTCTCACTGACACCAAGGCGTTTTCTAATCCCACTGGCCACAGTCCAGCCCCTTTTAAAGCCTCAAGAACAGTAAACTGGCAGTTTGTTCAGAAAAATGTGGAGATCCCTTATCTATAAGTTTGAACTGAGCGCCAGCAAGGTATAAGATGAGTCTTAGGGCTTGGGCAGGTGGAAAGATGCAATATGCTTTTTGGGTATTACAGTCTTCTGAGATCCTTCACAGGTGTATTTGAGCTGCAGTTGACCTCCTACTAACCTGCTTCAAGCTTTTGCATTGCTATTGATTTGTATGGAAAGCAATGGGGTTCTGACACAAACATGAACACAGGATCCTATACACTATGGAGAGTAATATTAGGTATACAAGGCCCAGTAACCATAAGAAAGGTCACAGACACAGTTCTTCACCACATACCACGGGTGCCCCACAGTGCCATGCCCTAATGGATATTTACTGCTGTCCAGTAACTGGAGGACTAACTGCCAGGAGGGACATCAAAGTAGAAAACAGACAGTAGAAGTCAACCAACTGATGGAGCAAAAAGTCAGAGGGGGTAGGACCTTAGAAAAGGTTTCAAAGGATGGAGAGAAGGAAAGTTGGGTCTTCTTCTGGAAACACAATTTCAATGTATTCCATCCTCATGCAATATATCCCACATGAAAGTCTGGTCTTGTTTTGATCTGTTTGTCCCTGCAGCTCCTGTTGTAAATGTAAGCCTTGTAATTATCCCTGAAAATGGAGAAGTAGAGGAAGGAGCAGAGCTTTCCTTGGTGTGCAATGTGGAATATGGAACCTTGCCCCTTACCTTCAACTTTTATGTCAAGAAAGGCAAAGATAATGTACTGATCAACGTGACCAAAACTGACGACATGCACGCGGAATTCATGGTATCATCATTCACCAAAGAAAAGGAAGGCTCCTACTTCTGCAACGCTTCCAACAAAGCCAACAAGTATGCCGAGAGCAAGGCCATGGAAGTAAAAGGTCCAATATATAATTTTTAGATTTTACTTACCAATATTTCCTACAGCTCTTTACAAGCTATCTCTAGACACTTCCATTTAATGTCCCCTCCACACTCCTAGAGACACACACTATCCTGTTTTGGGTAGAAGTCAGATGCCATCTGCACCTAAAAATATTTCGGTTTTGAATGGTTGATGGCAAACTCAGTAACATGGTGGTTTATTTTTTGTCTCCAGTTGTAAAATATGACCACCAGAATTCCCAGTTCTGCCAAATGATAGTACACCCTTCCCCAATGGGTTTTTTCATTGGGTATGTAGGTGGGGGTAAAGCGTGGTGTTGCAGAATAACACACTCAGTCCCAGTGCAGTGAAAGAACTTGTATAGAAATAATGCAGAGAGTTTACAAATAACCATTTGAGAAGACAGCCCAGCTGGGAACACTCACAGCTCCAATGGCATGTAGGGAGTAGACTATAGCCAAATGTCAGTGTCTGTAGAGAAGGGAAGATTGTGGCCTGGCCATGTTGTGCTCAACAGGCAGGAGTCCAGGGAGGTTGTGAACCCAACATTTTCCCTCTTCATCAAGAGCCTTTCCCTACTGCTAGTGCTAACCCTAACAGGTGGGGTACCTGACCCTACTCTACAGACTCGCAAATGTGTGCCAAACCTGAGAGCCAGGCCCTTAAATAGGCCCTACCTAACTCAAGATGGTTTCCAGAATCATATGGGACAACAGCATCCAATTGGATGCTTCCCCAGTGACCCAGAAACCCATAGAGGAACTATGTTCCACTTGACTTCCTCTCCAACTGCAGTGCCACTGAAGGAGAGTGCCACCTACGGTGGAGAAAGTAAACTGCACCTGTCCACATGTAGAAGGGTTTCAGCTGTGAGCCAGCACCACCTTGTAGGAGGGGCAGAGACACGGGTTAGTGGAGTTATCAAGAGACCATTTGGAAACCCGGGCGCTGCCCGAGGGGCCCGGGGTCATTAGGGGGCCCCATGAGATGCCCCTAGCACCTTTTTCATAGGCTTTTTTGAGTTTGGGCAAGGACACTGGGGCCCCATGATCCCCTATTGCCCAGGGGCCCCATGAGTTGTCAGTCCGCCCTTGGACATTACCATTATGTTTCTGGATGGTGCAAGACAACTGGAACTCCTGAAGGAGAGCCATGTACTGGTACTTGTGAGGGGGTTGGCTTATAGAAGAATACAACCATGGCAGGGCTCATACATTGTATGTTGTGACTCCTGAGATAATAATTGAAGTTCCAGAAAATAGAAGTCTTAGTCTTTTGAACAAAGAAGACAACTATCAGGGGGAAAGCAATAGAAGCAAGAAGTGTTATATATTTATGTATATATTACTGGAGTATCATAGTAAATGAAGTACCAGGACCATAGTGTATATATATTGTGTCTGGAGCCATTGTTGTAATGATCGTTGTTGGAGTCGATGTAGTGAAGTCTTATCTTCGTGCTTCTGTTTGTAGCCGTCCTCGCCAGATGGAAGAAGGTCATAATCGGCATATTTGTCGTGTTCCTTATTGTGGCCGCCATAGCCATCACCCTCTACTTATATCTGGACAAAAAGAGAAAAGGTAATGTCTCCAAAGCACATTGTTGGAGAGGCAATTGAGGGCTCCTGAGAGAACTGCTAAAAACTCTGTGTGTATGGTTGGATGATGGTTGAGAGTTGAGGATGATGGAGACTGGCAAGATCATAGCTACCAGATTTACAAGATTGCTAGGTAATGTTATCATGCTGTTGGAGATTGCTAGAGACGGATTCTGTTACTGGAGGCTGCTAGGGAATGTTACAAAGTATCCATGTGAGGAGAGGGATGACATCACACAAAGTATCCATGTGAGGAGAAGGATGACATCACACAAAGTATCCATGTGAGGAGAGGGATGACATCATACAAAGTATCCATGTGAGGAGAAGGGATGACATCACACAAAGTATCCATGTGAGGAGAGGGATGACATCATACAAAGTATCCATGTGAGGAGAGGGATGACATCACACAAAGTATCCATGTGAGGAGAGGGATGACATCACACAAAGTATCCATGTGAGGAGAGGGATGACATCACACAAAGTATCCATGTGAGGAGAGGGATGACATCACACAAAGTATCCATGTGAGGAGAGGGATGACATCACACAAAGTATCCATGTGAGGAGAGGGATGACATCACACAAAGTATCCATGTGAGGAGAGGGATGACATCACACAAAGTATCCATGTGAGGAGAGGGGGATGACATCACACAAAGTATCCATGTGAGGAGAGGGATGACATCACACAAAGTATCCATGTGAGGAGAGGGATGACAGGAGAGGGGTGACATCACACAAAGTATCCATGTGATGGGAGAGGGGTGACATCACACAAAGTATCCATGTGAGGAGAGGGGTGACATCACACAAAGTATCCATGTGAGGAGAGGGATGACATCACACAAAGTATCCATGTGAGGAGAGGGATGACATCACACAAAGTATCCATGTGAGGAGAGGGGTGACATCACACAAAGTATCCATGTGAGGAGAGGGATGACATCACACAAAGTATCCATGTGAGGAGAGGGGTGACATCACACAAAGTATCCATGTGAGGAGAGGGATGACATCACACAAAGTATCCATGTGAGGAGAGGGATGACATCACACAAAGTATCCATGTGAGGAGAGGGATGACATCACACAAATCCATGTGAGGAGACACACAAAGTATCCATGTGAGGAGAGGGATGACATCACACAAAGTATCCATGTGAGGAGAGGGATGACATCACACAAAGTATCCATGTGAGGAGAGGGATGACATCACACAAAGTATCCATGTGAGGAGAGGGATGACATCACACAAAGTATCCATGTGAGGAGAGGGATGACATCACACAAAGTATCCATGTGAGGAGAGGGATGACATCACACAAAGTATCCATGTGAGGAGAGGGGTGACATCACACAAACATATCCATGTGAGGAGAGGGGTGACATCACACAAAGTATCCATGTGAGGAGAGGGGATGACATCACACAAAGTATCCATGTGAGGAGAGGGATGACATCACACAAAGTATCCATGTGAGGAGAGGGTGACATCACACAAAGTATCCATGTGAGGAGAGGGATGACATCACACAAAGTATCCATGTGAGGAGAGGGTGACATCACACAAAGTATCCATGTGAAAGGGTGACATCACACAAGTATCCAGGAGGAGAGGGATGACATCACACAAAGTATCCATGTGAGGAGAGGGATGACATCACACAAAGTATCCATGTGAGGAGAGGGATGACATCACACAAAGTATCCATGTGAGTAGAGGGATGACATCACACAAAGTATCCATGTGAGGAGAGGGATGACATCATGGATCAATGGTTGCAGAATTCAAAACAACCTTCATAATATTCTGGGATCGGGAATTTTACTTTCTTTTTTTATCTTTTCAGGGGGAAAAACTTTTTGACTGACTCATCGAGGTGTGTCCCGCCATTCCTGACATTTTCTTTATAGATCTGTTGTGTTCATTGTTGTCTCTGATTCCAGTTTTAGCAGATTTTCCATGAAAGGTGCGTTTGTTTTCCAGATCAAAGGCCACCAATTCCAGCAGCGAGAAGTCAGCGGCGGACGTGAAAACTGATGACTCGTATTTTGGTGAGCTGCCTAAACCTTCAGTCACTTCCTGATACCCATCCCGGGAATCTCACTGTTATCCAAGGCAATAACCCACAGCAACCAGATCCCATCCAAGAGTGGGGATGGGGGACATGGTGGCCCTCTCACTTCCTGTTCTATGGGCCCCCATCACTAAGAATCTCACTGCTATTCAAGGCAATAACCCACAGCAACCAGATCCCATCCAAGAG